AGGCAAAGAAAATATGACAACGGTTTTTGCAAATGTTTGTCTTTGTGTTCCAATGAAAACAGAAAAAGGAGAATCAGCCTCAAATTAAACCACAATCTGTCCTGAGATACCTTTGAAGCCTTGTGTAAAAAAAGTCTCAAGGTCAAGTTGAAACCCTTCTGTTTCTACTACTGTAGGTAACTACTAAGTGGAGTTCACTGGATGCTTTCACAGTTAATATTTCATTGGTTTCCTGCCAGCAACCTTAGGGCAAGGCTTCCTTATTCCCCTCCACCATGCTCTGCCCATTCGTGAGTATCCTGGCTTCTGCTAGGCACAGCCTGGGGCTGCAGTGGATGTGGACCATGCTTCTCTCCATAGGTATTACGGTGGGACCGAGTTCATTGATGAGCTGGAGACACTGTGTCAGAAGCGAGCACTGCAGGCCTATCATCTGGACCCTCAGTGCTGGGGGGTCAATGTCCAGCCTTATTCAGGTGATTGTTTTTTTGGAGGTTTTTTTTTTTCTTTAGTCTTTTTGAGACAGGGTCTCCCTGTCTTTGTTGGCCTGGAACTCACAGAGATCTGCCTGCCTCTGCCTCCTGAGTGCTGGGATTACAAGGCGTGCACCAGATAGACCCTGGGCAGTTCCTTAGGCTTGGCTTAATGGGATGATAGTCACCTAGTAGGGTCTTAATAAGAAGGGCTTTTCACCGGGTGTGGTGGCGCAGGGCTGTAGTCCCAGCACTTGGGAGGCAGAAGCAGGCGGATCTCTGTGAGTTCAAGGCCTTACCTGGTCTACATAGTGAGTTCTAGGCCAGCAGGGGTTGCAGGGAGACCCTGTCTCAAAAAGACACCCCCCCAAAAAAAAGAAGGGCTTTTCATAAATAACAGTGAGAGATAAGCCAAACTCACTGCAATATGTGCCTCCTTCTCCATTGCCCCTGGGCTTATCTCTGCATACCCTTCCCAGGCAACAGTCTGCCCTTGATCTTCACTTACTTTCAATGGGACTGGGACATGATTACCTTCTGAAACTCAGGAAAATCTTGGTGATGGCTAGGTGTGCTCATCATTCTAGGGTGACTCTCTAGTAGCTGAGTTCCTGGATGCTACTTGGTGTCTCCTGGACAGACATCATGACTCCTCTGGTGTCTGTGTTTCAGGCTCCCCTGCAAACTTTGCTGTGTACACTGCCCTCGTGGAGCCCCATGGGCGTATCATGGGTCTGGACCTGCCAGATGGAGGCCATCTTACTCATGGCTTCATGACAGACAAGAAGAAAATCTCTGCGACATCTATTTTCTTCGAATCTATGCCCTATAAGGTAGGAGTGTATGAGTCTCCAGAGCTTCTGTCCTTAGAAGGAAGCTCCTGTTTGGGATGAGTAATTTCCTTTACGTGACACTGCCTTAGCACCTCCTTCACCAGCTCTCACTGCCCAAGGAACCCTGTATGTGTTCAGGGCATACTGGTGACACCAAGGAAGGGGAGGTTGAGATTTGGACCAAGGTTATGAAGAGGTGGCAGAGGAAGATGCAGCAGGCTAGTGGCCACTCCAGAACTACGGAGGGAACTTCTAGCATCCAGGTCAGCTACAGCTAGACCCTCATAAATAGCTGGTGGCACCAATTAATGTCCTGGATCTCCTCCAGGTCTGCAGGTATAAGGATGGCAGTGTTCTACAGCTATCATTAGTACTTGCAGATTCACTATCAATTGCTACAGGCCTCTATTGCCCAATTAGAGCCAGCCCCTGCCTATATGTGGTTACAGCCTATCCCTAAAGCCCATCACAATCCCCACTACACAGACCTATTCTCAGTCAGTACTGGCCAAATTCCCACAAGTGGAATCAGTTCCATCAGAGCCAATGTCCACAGGAGGTTTTTTGTTTGTTTGTTTGTTTTGGTGGAGGTTCCTTTCTGTATTAACAGTTGAACCAAAAAATCCATATGAAGGGCTAGGAATGTAGTTCAGTTGGTAGAATGCTTGTCGATCATGCACAAAGCCTTGGCATCAAACTCACAGAGATCCATCAGCCTCTGTTCCCCCGCCACCAAGTGCTGGGGTTAAAGGCATGTGTCACCATGTCCAGCTTGGAGACCAGATTTTTGTTTCTTTTTTATGTGTATGGGTGTATTGCCTGCATGCATGTAAGTGAACTAGTATTGTACAGTGCCTGCGGAGGTCAGAAGAGGGCGTTGGACCCCCTGAAACTGAAGTTAGGGACAATTGTTAGCTGCCATGTGGGTGCTGGAAATTGAACCCAGGTCTTCTGCAAGAACAGTCAGTGCTTTTAACTGCTGAGCCCCAAGACCAGGTTTTTAAAACATGGGACAACAGTACCAAAGTACATGTCTTTGGTCTTCAACTAGAGCATACAAGCTAGTTTGTACTGTTTAGCTTGTGAAAGAATTATGGCAGGACCTAATTACTGACTTGTTATCTGGAGCCTTTGATGAGTCCTGCATGCTCACTCTAGTTACTGGAGACATTAGGAGGCCTATTCTGTGCTCCAAAGCCTGGTTTTTCTTGAGCACTGTCCTGGCTGCAGCCCTTTTGGTGGTCTGTAGGGTGTGGAGAGGCAGGCCCAGGATGGGCTGACTTGGGCCTGGACCCACAGCCCTCTGGCCAGGTAGGAAAAGCCAGGTGGGAATGGCCTCTACCAGCAGTCACTGAGACCTGCCTGGGCTGCCTTCTGCTCAGTCTTCCTCAGACCATCTGCCTCTGACTTCAGCCCTTGTCCATCTCCCCAGGACCCTGAGTGAGCAGCTGCCCAATGCAGAGCCAGATGTTCCTTTTTCCAAAGTGAGCAGCACTAACCTTATTACTGTGTTTCTAGCTCATACCTCATTCTTGGTTCCACTCTCTTCTGTGACTAGAGAATCCCTCCATCTCCTTGGTCCCCTTCTACTTACTGGCCTTTGTACTGCCCTGGCCCAAAGAAGCTTGCTAGGCCTGTGAATGCTTCCAGGTGTTTGTTTTGTTTGAGTCAAGAGTTTCACTCTAGCCCAGGCTAACTCTGAACTTACAGCAGTTCTCCTGCCTCAGCCTACTTAGTAGCTGGGATTACAGGCCTGTGCCATCAGACTTGGCTGTCTTTTTTTTTTTTTTGGTTTTTTTTGAGACAGGGTCTCCCTGTAGCCCCAGCTGTCCTGGAACTCACTATGTTGACCAGGCTGTCCTTGAACTCACAAAGATCTGCCTGCCTCTGCTTCCCAAGTGCTGGGATTAAAGGTGTGCGCCACCACACCCGGCTGGCTGTGTCTTTTTAACTTTGCTTGGACTACTTCTTGTGCAAGCTGAATATAGTGCCCTGCCGCAGATCCTAGTCTGGGTCATGTCTGGGTGAGTAGTTTCGAGTGGGAGGGCAAAAGACACCATTTTGCTAGAGGAAGCAGCTACATCTGAGTCTCCCTGATCCCAACAGGTATACCCAGAAACTGGCTACATCAACTATGACCAGCTGGAGGAGAATGCCCGCCTCTTTCACCCAAAGCTGATCGTTGCAGGTGAATAACAGTTGGGAAGCAGCCTGGTTCCTCTGCTGGGCATGTGCTTTCTACCAAGAAGGATATAAGGACATTCTATTCTCTAGATCATTATGGAGTCTACCTTGCATAACTGAGGTTGGATAAACAAATTCTATCTTATAATTTGGGCCCTTGCAGCTTATTGTAAGGCAGTATCCTCTGAGCCAGACTGACACCATCTTCATGAGATCAGCAATGCCTACTTGCAAGGATTGTTGATCTTTTCCATTATAGAAGGAGGAGGCAGCCATTTGTGTACAATTCTACCCTAATTGTATGTGGCCTTGGAGAGGGGGTAGAGTATTTGGTCTGGAGAAGCTTAGGGGAAGGGGGCTTCATCCATGCTATGGGGAAGTAAATCTTCCATGTTGGGTACAGCCTTTCCACTGTGACTGCTTTTGGGTCACCTGTGCTCTGTAGGCCCATTAAACTCATTGATTCCCCAGGGTGAACTTTGGTTTGTCCTAGGACCTAATAATGAGCAGGTAGGTGTTCTCATCATCCCTCTCAGGGAAGGAATTTCAGTCACAGCCACCGGTAGTGCAGTGAGGACTCAGGTCTGAAGGTGACATGTTTGGAAACATTGGTCCTTTCTAACTCATGGTGTAATAGAAGCCATTGTGCTCTGTGACCCCAAGAGGCAAGTTGGAATGGCCCCTTAAAGCATGGATGGTTTTGAGGGTATGCTCTGTATCTGACCTCAGAGATTAGGGGGATCTCTAAGTTTGAGGATTTGTACACCCAGAGACCAACTCAGCTGCCCTGGACATCCTTGATACTACATGTCACCTCTTCTGTCTTAGGTACCAGCTGCTACTCTCGAAACCTAGACTATGCACGTTTGCGGAAGATTGCTGATGAAAACCGGGCATATCTCATGGCAGACATGGCACACATCAGTGGGCTGGTGGCAGCTGGTGTGGTGCCATCCCCTTTTGAACACTGCCATGTAGTGACCACCACAACCCACAAAACGCTGAGAGGCTGCCGTGCTGGTATGATATTCTACAGAAAAGGTAAGTTACTACAAGCTGGGGACAGACAGACTGGACTACCATTTCCCATATGAAGGAAACTAGGAAAACTCTGGCCTGTGGCTTTTGGAGACTATTGGGACCCAGTGTCTCAAAGAGTTCCTAAGGAAGCAGTAATGGGCTTTAAATGAAGCCTTGAGCCACAGCTCAGGCATCAGTGTGTAAGTGTATAAGTACAAAGAAATCAGGAAGGGGCTTAGCAACTATGGTGAAGAGCTTGTGATCTAGAATGTTTTACAAAGAGAATGATTTTTTAAAATATTTATTAGGATATGCTGAAGAAGCAGGAGGATCAGGAGTTTGAGACCAGCTTGGACTACACATTTTTAAAAGTGGGCATGGTGGTGCACACCTTTAATCCCAGCATTCGGGAGGCAGAGGCAGGCAGAGCTCTTTGAGTTCAAGAGCCAGCCTGGTCTATATAGTGAGTTCCAGGATAGCTGGGGCTACAGGGAGACCCTGTCTCAAAAAAGAAAAAAAAAAAAAAAAATAGCTGGGTGTGGTGGTGCATGCCTTTAATCCCAGCACTTGGGAGGCAGAGGTAGATGATCTCTGTGAGTTGGAGGCCAGGCTGGTCTACATAGTGAGTTCAAGGTCAGCTGGGGCTACAGGGAGACAGACCCTGTTTCAAAAAACAAAAAAACAACAACAACAACAAAAAAAAAAAGTGTAAGTGTATAAGTGTTTTACTTGCATGTATCTAAGTGTAGCCATGTGTGTAGTGCCTGGGTAGGCAGAAGAGGACATCAGATTCCCTGGAACTGGAATTAAGGACAGCTGTTAGCCACCATGTGGGTGCTGGAAACTAAACCTGGATCTTCTGTAAGAGCAGCCAGTGCTCTTAACCACTAAGCCATCTCTCTAGCCCCAATAATAATTTTTAAAAAATTTTATTTTTAGCCAGGCGTGGTGGTGCACAGAGAGACCCTGTCTCAAAAAGACAAAAAAAAATTTTTTTTTTTTCAAATTTTTATGTGTATGAGGGTTTTGCCTACATATAAGGGCACCCATGCATGCAGTGCCCCTAGAGACCAGAAAAGGGTATTGTATCCCCTGGAATTGGAGTTAAAAGTAGTTGTTAGCCACCCTGTGGATCCTGGGAACTAAACCCAGGTCCTTTGTAAGAGCAACCAGTGAGTGCTCTTAACTGCTGAGCCATCTCCAGCACCCACTCCCCTTTTAAAAAATTATTTTTATTTTATGTATATGAGTGTTTTGCCTGCACAGGGAGGCCAAAAGAGAGGATATCAGATCCCCTGGAACTGGGATTGGCAGGTTTTGGCTGCCATGTGGGTGCTAAAGAGCATTAAGTGTTCTTAACCACTAAGCTGTCTCTCCAGCTCCCAGTAAGTTTTTAATTAAGATAAAAAGGGAGACAGGTATATGAAAGAAACCAAGAAACCAGCCAGTCATCCATCCACAAGGGCCCTCTGTTCTAGCATCACAAACCAGCTTTCCTTGTAGCCAAGTGATCAGGCCAAGCTGTGCTTCCTGTCCATCTGTTTGGCTGAGTCTACAGGAAACTAGTTGGCCTGTTAACAGAACAATTTCTTTACCAGGTGTGCGGAGTGTGGATCCCAAGACTGGAAAAGAGATTCTGTATGACCTGGAATCTCTCATCAACTCTGCTGTGTTCCCAGGCCTCCAAGGGGGTCCCCACAATCATGCCATTGCTGGTAATGTGTCACAAAGCCCCTCCTCCCCTTGGGTTGCACCCTCAGTCATTGAAGCCCCCATACATCTCATAATTCTCATCTTGCCTGTTCTCCAAAGTGGGGACAGGAGAAAAGTGTCTTTTCCACTCACATGGTCACCTTTGGGCAAAACTGTAGCCAGGAAGAAATCTGATAGCAAGGGGTGAGGAAAAGTAGGTTCCACCCATACAGAACGAGCTGCCTTTCTTCTGTTGACCTTGTCTGCAGGAGGCAACCCTTGTACCCTGAATCCTGGAGTAACTCCTGGGTTCCATGGGAATCCCACAGGCCCCATTTACCTTATTCCTTCTGTTTGTTCACATGGCTTATGGAAGCCTATGATAGTCTGCAGCACATCCCACTCTCATCTTGGCAGTGACCGACACTTGTGGGCACTGAGATGCTCAAGATAAGGTGGCAAGGTACCACCATGTCCACTGAGATTGGAAAAGCACATAGTGGAAGGGGAAAGAGGCTTGAGGCATGGGGTGTCAGATGTGCTGGGCCCAGAGCAGGTTTTCAGATTCTCCACCTGTATTCAGATTCTCAGCATATACAGTTCCTGCTACTCAGGAATGCTGGGGTCACTGAAGCTTTGACACTAGTTACCTTGGAGACAGCATACCCTTAGCTGGAAGTTTTCCCTTCTATTTCCTTACCAGCTACCCTACTGGTGCCTAGCCACTATGTGCCTTTCCAGGTGTATCCACAAGCAGACTGGAGGCTCTACACCAAGACTTGGTACATGCATTTTGTATGATCCTTTGCTTTTTTTCCCTGTAATAAAGCAGCCCTTAGGACTGACTACAGAGGGTCACTGCACCTGGGTGGTGAAAGGGAAAGCTGACATCCCGCCTATGGAGTACATTTCAGAATGCTGCATGACATAGCATCAGGCACCAACTTTAGGCAGCCAAGGACTAAAATAATGACTAAAATCCATTGAGCTAAAGATGGCTTTCTTATGATACTCAGATTAGCATAGGCTTCCATACCTAGGGATAAGGTTACCCCCAAAGCAGTCCTTGAATTAGGAGTACCTTCAGTCAAGTTTTTGGGGGTAGCCAGGTAATCATAGTTCAAAAGCAATGTGTCTGGAGGTATAGCTCAGAGATATTGTGTGTGTGTGTGTGTGTGTGTGTGTGTGTGTGTGTGTGTGTGTTAAAATCAAGGCCCTGGGTTCATCCCCAACTGCAACAAAAGTACATCATTTAGGGGGGAATATCCAAAGCCACTGAGTTGACAGTACAAGGCAAGGAGGCTTCTTTGACAAGGCCTGCTTCTGTGTTACTACCTGTCTTTAAAGCTGTTCTGACTTCCTCTTGTCTCTTTGTCTAGGTGTTGCTGTGGCTCTGAAGCAGGCCATGACTACAGAATTCAAAGTCTACCAGCTCCAGGTGATAGCCAATTGCAGGGCTCTGTCTGAGGCTCTCACAGAGCTAGGCTACAAAATAGTCACAGGTATAAATGTACATAGTGGTAGGCAGGCCCATTCCCCTCCTGGGTAGGTACACTGAAGCTTTGCCTCATTAGTTTCTCTGGTCAGGCTGTGACCTACAGGATAAGGCTTTAGGCACCTCCACTGATGCTTTGACACCAGTTACCTTGGAGACAGCATGCCCTTAGCTGGAGGTTTTCCTTCCATTTGCCTTACCAGCTGCCTCCTCAGGTGGGCTGCGTATGGTGATAATAGTAGCCGCCACTATGCATGAGGACTACACATTTTGGGAATAGCTGAGGCAGCAGAGCAGGTTACAGCTGTCAACCACTGGCAGGTGACAAGTCTTTGGTGATTGTTCATACCATCCATGCAGCCAGGGCTTTCCCTAGTGCCATGACAACCATTGGGTGTAAAAATGTTTCAATGTTCCGACCTTATGACTTACTACTGGTCTTTTTTTTTTTTTTTTTTTTTTTTTTTTTGGTCTTTTTGAGACAGGGTCTCCCTGCAGCCCCAGCTGGCTTGGAACTCACTATTGTAGACCAGACTGGCCTTGAACTCAGAGATCCGCCTGCCTGTGTCTCCTGAGTGCTGGGATTAAAGGTGTGACCCCACCCAGCCACCATGAACTTTCAGGGATCACTTGACAATACATGTTGAACATGTAAAATCTGAAGGTTTCTGAGCATTCACTGATGATCTAAAGTTTTTTAGATTTGGGGTGCTCAACCAATAAAATGTAGCAAATACTCTAAAATGTAAAAATACTCAAACATCTCAAACATTGCCTCTGGTCTCAAGCATTTTGAATTAAGGATGCTTAGCCTGTACTATAAACCTCACGGGGTTTGGAATAAAGTACAGTGCCTCCTGAACATGTGGCCACTGCCACATCTGCATGATAACTGAACCCTTACTGCTATGGTGTTAACTTAGAAGGAGCCTCTTAAAATTGGCTCAGAAGAGCTAGGTGGTGTAGTAGAGCATTTGCCTAGTCATTCGTCACAGAATGAGGAAATTGACCCAGATGCTTTTCTGCCTGTGCAGGCCTCTGGTGTGTCATGGCTTGAGCAATCTGGACTACAGAAGTAGCCTCACCTTTGTAGAGTTAGTTGTATAGTTTTATAAGAGCTTTGTAAAGCTCTTCCCAATTTTTAGACTTGGAGCATCTTGGCTCACATGGGTGGTATCATGGTTCTGGGCTTTTTTTTGTTTTGTTTTTGTCTTTTTTGAGACAGGGTCTCCCTGTAGCCCCAGCTGTCCTGGAACTCACTATGTAGATTAGGCTGGCCTTGAATTCAGTGAGATCCGCCTGCCTCTGCCTCTCCAGTTCGAGAGGGATTAAAGGCATGTGCCACCACACCCAGCTGGGGCTGACTTTCTTGACCTTGGCCTCTGCCTTCTCCACAGCAGAATATATACTCATTAAATGTGGCCATTATCCTGTCTGCCCACATCTTTCTAGAAAAGTAGGTTCCCTCACTTGGTGTACCCAGCCTTCTATATTCCATTGTGTACAACTCTATTTACAGGTGGTTCTGACAACCATTTGATCCTAGTGGATCTCCGTTCTAAGGGCACAGATGGGGGAAGGGCTGAGAAGGTGTTAGAAGCCTGTTCTATTGCCTGCAACAAGAATACCTGCCCAGGTGAGACTCTGGTGATTTTCCCTCCCATGTCCTCCTGTCTGCATTTCTTCCAGCCAGTGTTGTGGCTGATGGTATTTAGCCTAGGGAACAGGTAAACCACAGTATGGGGAGCAGAAAAGGCTAAAGTGAAATAGGTGTTGACAAGAGAAGCAAGAGACACTTTAAAATAGTTAGCATTTCTTACATCAGGGCTAACCTTTGTAGGACCCAGGGCCACACCACAGGACTACCTTGCATACGTTAATACAATAAAATGACATCTTCAGACTCCCCAAGATTTTTTTTTTTTTTTTTTTTTTTTTTTTTTTTTTTTTTTAGCATTTCCCTGTACTCTTTCTCTAATTGTTTGTTATTATTATGTAGAAAGGCTACTGATTTTTGTAGATTCATTTTGTAACCTGCTACTTTACTGAAAGTGTTAATCAGTTCTAGGCGTTTTCTAGTGGAATTTTTGGGATCCCTTAGGTATAGGATTATATCATCTCCAAAAAGGGATAATTTGACCTCTTTTCCAATTAATATGCCTTTAATTTCCTTCTCCTGTCTTACTGCTCTAGCAAGAGTTTCAAGCACTATATTAATAAAGGAGTGGAGATAGTGTCCCAAGTGCTGGGATTAAAGGTGTGCACCACCACGCCTGGCTGGTTGTTTCTTTTTTTTAAGATTTTTATTTTTACATGGATGTGTGTGTCACATGTGTGAAGATAACCTGTGGAGGCCAGAAGAGGGTGTTGGATCCTCTGGAGCTGGAGTTACAGGTGGGGGATTGTGAGCTGCCTTTGTGGATGTTGGGGAACTTTGCTCTCAAGTTCTTTCTGAGCCATCTCTTCAGCCACGGACTCTTAGTTTTTAAGCCTTGTTAGATCAAGCTGTTAGATCTGCAGAGCCAGCCTCAGTTCCCTTTTTAAATGCGCAGTGGCCACAATGGTGTATTAGTTTCATTTTAGGGCCTTGTTTGTCTTGAAGGTGACCGGAGTGCACTACGGCCCAGTGGACTTCGACTGGGGACTCCAGCACTGACATCCCGTGGACTTTTGGAAAAAGATTTCCAAAAAGTAGCAGACTTTATCCACAGAGGTAAGGATATCCACAGAGGTTGGAAGTTGGCATCCCTTTCTATGTGTATGGAGTTTATGGTGTGCCTCATAGGTAAGACCTGGCCACGAGAGGGTATTTTAGTGTTGAAGATGATGGCTGGGGACAGGAGAGCAAAATCACTCTAGTCTATAAATCTCTCTTGTAAGAGGTTTATAAATGTGTCTGCCAAGGAACATACCTCAAAATTACCTGAGGGGAACAAGCAATTGACACCTATGAAGCTTGCTCGCTCCAAGGTATGGAAACATTATGTCAGGATGTCCAATGAAGGAAGCCTTAGGAGACACTGTCTTTCACACAGGGATAGAACTGACTCTGCAGATTCAGAATGACATGGATGCAAGAGCCACGCTCAAAGAGTTCAAGGAGAAACTGGCAGGGGATGAGAAGTACCAGAGTGCTGTACAGGCTCTCCGGGAGGAAGTGGAGAGTTTTGCTTCCAACTTCTCACTTCCTGGTCTGCAGGACTTCTGAAGGAACCAGCTCGCCCTGCACCTGACATATGTTGGATTGCCCTCCTGCAGGCTGCTCTAGGCCTATGCAGTGGACCTACTGAATTGTACTGAGTTCTCAAGTGCATTTCCGTCAGATTTCTCATCTTTACATAAATCAAAACTTAAGTAAATCCTATTTTTAATAATTCTGAGACAGTTCATTAAGTACTTTAAATTGGAACGTCACTTCTCAAAAGCTGTATATAATTCTGGAAAATATGCTGTGTAGCCATTTGATCTCACAGACCGCAGTAAAGGTGAGAACTATTAGGAAATTCCAGTATTCTCCCAAATCTAAGCTTAATGGGCTCTGTGTCACGTAAACAAAGTCTAGGGTCACAGCTTATAAATTCTGTCTATTCTTCCTGTTTTGCCCAGTAGGATGCCATAAGAGCACTGTTCAGATTTTACTGGGCAATTCCAAATTTCCTGCTCTAGGCTTGAAATTATAAGCTAGATGAGTGAATAGCAAGAGTTTACTGTCAGCAGCTTGAACTATACTGTACAAGGGTTAGGGGTGTCATCAGAGGTAAAGCACATGCTTACTGTGCATGAGGTCCTGGGTTTATCCCTAGGAGCACCCCCCCCCCCAGCCCACAGTCTTGTAGAACTGGCCTCCTCCACCAATCAGCCTGGTCTGAGAATCAGTGGAGGCCAGGGGATTCCTGTTCCACCTGCCCAAGATAACCAGTTCCCTCCTATAAGCAGGAACTCACACGTCACCTTCCCAAAGAATCTTTATTTTTCACATAGCTGAATTGCAAGCCATAGGTGACTGTTTTTTAATAAGCACAATCAAATTTTTAACCACAGAATGTCTACAAGAATTATAGCTTTAAAAAATACAACCAATTTTTATATTTTAAAAATATCTGAACTCAAATAAATTTCTAAAAAGTACACTCCTCATACTATTTGTTTGGCATTTACTCTGGTTAAACTTTTGTGCATAATACCTGTGGGACATGGTCATTATCAATGGTATTCTGGTTCCGGTACTGTGACTGCAACTTGTGGGCTTGGGACACATATTCACAGCCATGGTGGGGACATGCAGTAATAAAATAGCTTCTTAGAAAATGATGAGAGTTCATTTTGGCCTGTGCTGCTCACTGCAACGGTGTTTGCCTCAGTTCAGCATGTAGCTCCTGTTAGCCAGTATAAGATAGTATGGCCAAGGTTCCCTAGGATCCAGCCTATTGTATTACCTCCACTGTGTGGGACAGCTGTCACTCTCCATGAGATGTGGTGACACACTAGTCCCTTCATCTCTGATTCTGGGACTGCCATGCTACTTAAGCACCCTGAAGTCCAGAAGCCTTTTGGCTGAAGACAACTACATCTCCAAGGACTCTGCAGAACCACTGAGAAGCTGCACCCCAAGCCAGCAGGTTAACATTTTGTAGAGACACTTGTACAACCATGTTTGTTGCTGCTCTTTTCACAGTAGCTAAGAGATGGAAGCAACCTAAGTGCCCCTCAATTGATAAGTGGTTAACATTTTTGGTAGGCATCACCTCAAAAGGCTTTGCTTTCTAACCAGGAGAAACCTAATGTTTTCTTTTGTAGTCTAATAATGAATTTGTGTGTGTGTGTGTGAGTCCCTTCAAGATTCCAATTTGATCATAGTATTGGGGTAAAGCCAGAAAGCTGGCTAGTTTAAAAGCATAAGCCAAGGCACTTTCTTATCAGCTTTCTAGGGAAGTGCAGGGTGTGCCTGGCCTGCCTGTGAAGGATTTGGTGCCTCCAAAGGCCTTGCATACCTATTGGTTTGCCATCTCCCACTGGCTGAGCTACTGCTACCAACAATGCAGAAGAGGACCTGTGGTGGCAGCAGCACAGGGCATTGGTCCCAATATGCATCATCAGGGCTGGGGGGTGGTATAGACTTAGCACTGGTAAATGAGTGGTCAGGATACATACAAGATGTCAATGGAACCTAGCATGGTGGTGCATGCCTTTAATCCCAGCACTCTGGAGGCCGAGGCAGGCATATCTCTGTGAGTTCAAGGCCAGCCTGGTCTACATAGCGAGTTCCAGGCCAGCTGGAGCTACAGGGAGACCCTGTCTAAAAAAATGTCAATGAAGTGGATGGCACATGCTGCCTCCAGACCAAACAGCTCAACTTTGGTATTTGATAAGAGGTAGGGAGGGATCTCTTGATCTTCCTATGATTGTGAAATAGGAATTATTATCATTTAGATTAATGGAGTTATAGGTCAGATCAGGAATGACAGGTCATAATCCATTTCTAAGTTATGTTTAAGTGTATGATCGTATTGCCTGTGTGTAACTGCACTCGTGTTGTGCAGTGCCCACGAAGGTCAGAAGAGGGCATCGGATCCCCTAGAACTGGAGTTACAGTTGTTAGCTGCCATGTGGGTACTGGGAACCGAACCCAGTTCTCTGCAAGAACAACTGGTGCTCTTAACTGCTGAACCATCTCTCCAGTCCCCCATTTCGAAGCTTGAGAGCAACTTCAGCTGTTGTAGTAATGTAGTTATGTTTTGTTTTTGAGACATGGCCTCCCAGTAGCCTGAGCTGGCCTAAAATTCACAAAGATCCACCTGCTCTGTCTCCTTCCTGGAGTGCTGGGATTAAAGACGTGTGCTACCACACCTGGCTAAGAGTTTACTTTTTTAAAATTTAAAGGTTTTACTGAAGGGAAATGATGAGACAGGAGGGCAGCTATTTAGGCCAGTGTGCCCCACACGTACCCTGGTAGGAAGCCACGGATTACCTCTACAATGGAGCATGTGAAAATTCACTAATGTACAGCTGCTAGCCCAATTAGATAGTTCTTAAACTAGACTGCTTTAAAATATTTATTGTTTTTATGTGTATGTGTGTATTGCCTGCACGTAGGTAAGTGCACCCGTGTCGTGCAATGCCTGCGGAGGTCAGAAGAGGTGGTCAGATCCCCCTGGAACTGGAGTTACAGACAGTTGTTAACTGCCATGTGGGTGCTGGGGTTTGAACCCAGGTCTTCTGCAAGAAGTCAGTGTTCTTAACTGCTAAGCCATCTCTCCAGCCCCAAACTAGACTGCTTTAAAAACAGGGAGGGAAATGATAGCTTAGCCAGACTTAATCAGGTTGGTACCAGGGCCTTGAGATCATAGGACTAAAGTAATGAGGGTCTCTGATGTTATCTCCTTCCTGAGAGGTTTTTAAATATTTTTTTAGATTTTTGTTTGTTTGTTTGGGTCTTTTCAAGACAGGGTCTTCTTATAGCACCCAGCTGGCCTCAAACTCACAGAGATCTACCTGCCTCTGCCTCCCAAGTGCTGGGATTAAAAGTGCCTGGCTTAGAGATATTTTTAAATATTAAAATTATTAGGCTGGTAGCTGTAGTTCAGTTGGTAGAGTGCTTGCCTAGCATGCATGAAGCCCTACATTCAATCCCCAGCACTGCATAAATAAGGCATGGTGATAACGTAACTGTAATCCGAGCATGTCAAGGCAGGAGGTTCAAGGTCATCCTTAGCTACATATGGGTTTCAAGGCCTGTCTAGGCTACATGAGATCCTGTCTCAGAAAGCAAAACAAAAAACTTGTTAGCCCATTACTGGAGAAATGCTGCAGATGGAAACTGTTAAGGAGTTGGATCCCACTGCATAGGACTCTAAACCCTCAAGGTATATACATGTAGGACTTCTAGAAGGTTCCAGTACTCCAAAGTGGAAGGACAGAATATCCAGTATTAACTGCCTCTGCCTGAACTCTGTCTCACCACTCATTCTGAGATCTTTCTAAGAGGAAGTATACTTTATATCAAGTAATCCTTTCAAATCAGCACATGAAAACTTTTAAACCAAAATCTCAATCTTGACAGTGGCACATGTCTGTAATCTCAGCACTTGAAATTACATGTGGAGGCAGGAAGATCAAGAGTTCAGGGTCATCTCTAGCTACATACTGAATCTGAAGTCAGTTCAAGACCCTGTCTCAAAAAAGAAAAGTCCTGGAGTTCAACTCCTAGTCACCAAGCCAACTTTTATTTAATGAAGAACCACTTCAGGAGAGAGGCACCCTGTTTACCTTTTCATGGCTGCCACAAAGGAATTGTTTGGCTCACTCCCCACCACTCTTGCCTTTGTCCTCTGAGCTGCCCTTGTGGCTGAGTGCCAGGCAGATGACTGCAGATGGATCCCTACTTTAGACTACTGCAATGTATGTGTTCAGTGTCTTGAAGGCTAAGCATGGCTGCAGCTCATCTTCCTTTACCAGTTTCCCATGGAGCACAGGGTTCACCTAGAGTCCTCACACTAAGACAGTGACTATGTCCCAGCCTGTCATTTGGACTTCATAGACTTTGCCTTTAGATAAAACATCATTTGTCCTTAGAGGCCTGAGAAAACAGCACCTAACCACCCAGTCAGAAAGCTAAATGGCATCTGGAACACTAGGAAGCAGTGGCAAATGAGGAAGCCCATGAGGAGAAACAAGCTGCAAAGTTGTCTGTAAACACATCTAACAGACAGTGACCAAAAAATTGAGATGTGGGCAGTGCCATCTTCCACAAAAGGTTCTTTGTCACAGTCTCAGAAGCAAAAATCGTACACCCTCTAACATGAAATGGGGATATGACCTAAGCAATTGATCAGAACCAAAAGGCTTCATCTATGTCAAAGACCTGGGCAAGGAAGGTGACCACAAGAGTGACATGCTGCAAGCCATTTTTGGTCACCTGGATTCCACAGGGGGTCTGTGACTTCCTCTGTAAGTAGTGTGGCCCAGCTGACAGGGATACTGGGCCTCAATAGCAAGACCTGAGTACAGGGACACAGCACCTGACAGATGGATGTACAAGGCTACAGATCCAGGCCAATTTACTATAGTTTACTGGAAGAAATTAAAAAGCAGTAATACCCAGCGCTTCCTCTATTCAGGGAGGGAAAAAAGATTTTTTTAAAGATCTGACCTTTTCAAGACTGTGAGAAGTTCTCCATGCAGACAAGAGAGGCAGCTTTGTCAGAAGCCCAGGGAGGCCATGATGACGGCCAACAGGAGGTCAGGTAGGGACCAGATGGTTCCTCCCTTCCGTGTTCAAAGTTCCTTGAAAAGGGAAGGGACTCAACATGGGGATGGTTCTGAGTTGAGGATAAAAGCAGGTACAGCCTCTCAGAGGTGGATCCACAAGGCTAGCCACCTGGGAGCTGGCACAGGAAGTCCTTGCCCCTAAGTTCCAGTCAGACAGGCTGACCATTCACAGCAACTAGTTAACCAGAACTCAGCCATCATGAAGCCCACAAAACCCAAGGAACTCCATCTACAGCTCCCAGGTTCTCATGTTGCTGTCGCTGTTTGGCATCTGCTTCATATCCAGGCCTACTAGTTGTGAGAAGTAACCCCCGGGGACTTACAAGTACTTTCTTCCTTGGCAGAGGTGAAGAAAGGACAAGAGGCCACCTGTGCTCCGCAGCCCCAGAGCCCAGAGGTGTGTGTCTCTACAACTGGCCAGAGCACTCTTCTTCCATCTCCCTGTTCAGGGGCCTCCCCTCAGTTACTGGGCTCTAGGAGGCCAATAATGGCCACAATAGGGTGGGGGTGGGGGGACGAGCAGCGGCTGTCCTGTTTCCTACCATATCATCATCACAGTTCCAAAGCTAACTGCCACTCAGATGTCATTAGGGCTTTGGCTACTCAGCCTCATCTTGTCTAGTCCCAGAAGGGCTAGGGGCCTTCTCTTCCTGAATAGACTGCCAATCCTTGGAAAATTAATGGGATCTCCATTCAGGAGCTACTTTTCCCCAGGGAGCTAAGAGCAGCTACTCCTGTCCTTTGAACCATCTTCAGAGAGCCAGGCTCCACCTCTGCCTAGCCCACCTCACAAACTGCCCAGGGCCCCATGGGAACCACAGCTGCCACCTATTTCCTTCCCACTGACACCAGAAGGCTTAACACTCCAGCTCAGGCAATGGTTTAATCATGCCAACCCATCCCCCTCCCCATACCCTGAGTCACAGGTCTTGGTCACAGTAGCTGGAACCAACCTCAGATTTTGTACAAAAAGCTGGGGACATAGTCAAACCTGAGCAGGGGATGGGTGGTCCCAGGTGACTCCTGCATGTAGTGCAGTTTCAATAGTTCAGCCAGGTACTGTACCACTTTGATGTCCTCATTCACCAGTCCCAGGTTCAGTTTTAGGAAGCTCGTCTGACGGCTGGCCACTGCTTCCTGTGTCTCCTCACTGTGGGTGGGCAGGTGCAGGTGGTGACAGAAAGTATAGAGGAAGGCCTTGGAGCAAAGCTGGGTAAGCATGCTCTGGACGTGCAGGTAGTAGGTGCTGCCCCGCTTGATCTGAGTGCGATGGTCAGCCAGGCGGGGCACCAGTGTCCCCCTGTACAGGGGACAACGCAAGGTCTTGCTGTCCAGGTCCAGGATGCTTGTATAGCGGCTGTAACGACTCAGGGTATGGAGGGTACCCACATTGGCAGGGGAGGCCACTCTGAAAAGATAAGCCAAGGTCAAGAGGAAAGGCAAGGTTCATGAAAATGGAGGCAGATGCTCAGGACATGGGGCTCACTGTCCTCAAGCCAACTCCTATCCAGCTAGCATACAGTGGCCCCATCAGGAAGGCCAATCCCATCAGAATCTTCAAAGGGCTACTACCAAGTTCAAATGCCTTGGCCCCTCAAAGCCCAGGGCAATCCGATTCCTGCTGGCCTCTGAGGCATCTGTTACTTGCCTAAATAGATGTTCCCCAGAGTGAGCCAAGCTTTTAGTGGGGCTTCAAACTATCTGCTTTCCCTCCTGGACTTGACCCATGTCAATTTAAAACACATTCAGTCCTCCCTAATCTGCTCCTCTGGACTGGAAGCTTGGTCAAGCTCCTTTTGCTCTTTCTGAGCCTCATCTATGAGATAAATATATTTCCCACTGTTACACTCCTTCTGGGGTCACTATAGTGATGAAATGCATCGTCAGGACAGACACGGCCTGGCCTTCATTAGCTGCTGCTATCATTTTTACTACTTTGGGCCCAGGACCACCTGGTAGAGACTACTGTTTACCTATCTCCAATGGGCAAGGAACTTCTCCATTCTTTAGCCCTGGGACTATACCTGACTTGCTGTCATTTCTCTACCGCCCAGCAGTGTGTGTTCCAGGGCGTAGAGTGGGAGAAGGCCAAGTGCTCGGCTTTCTGAGGCTGTTCTTAAAAACCTTCCTCAACTGGGCATGGAGAAATGACTCCATGGGTAAAAGCACATACTTTGTGTGTTTGTGCATGCATGTGCATGTGAGACAAGGTCTCCCTGTAGTCCTACCTGACCTGTAACATGCTAATGTAAACCAGGCTGGCCTCGATCTCAGAAAGATCAGCCTACCTCCTGAGTGCTGAGGTTAAAGGTGTGTACCACCATGTCTGGCTATATACTGCTCTTGTAGAGGACCAAAGTTCAGTTCTCAGTACCCATATTGGGTGGTTCTGTAACTCCAGTTCTGGGGATCTGAACCCTCTGGCCTCTGTGGGCACTTACTACATACCCGAACCACATATACACATAAAATAATAATAAATCTTTACCAGTTATGGTGGCACCAAGTCTTTAATCCCAGCATCTGGGAAGCAGAGACAGGTGGATATGAGTTTGAGGCCGGCCTGGTCTGCATTGAGTTCTAGTGAGATCCTGTCTCAAAGATTCCAAGGAATATAACTTTCCTTTTCTTCTCTCTCTGTCCTAAGCATGTTTTCTCTAATATTTTGGGCTTTAGTCTTTCTCAGAGCTCCCCTCCCTTCTATGTGGCTGTTCTATCAGGTGGCTGACCTCCATGCCTAACTCAAACAGTGAGGGTCTCTCTCTTTCCCCCTTAAGCTCCATAATCTATAATACACTTTTCTTTACCACACCCCCCCCCAAAAAAAAAACCCAAACAACCTTCCTCAAGGGTAGGATTAGGTTTGGCTCAGTAGTAGTTTTTGCCTGCCATGCAAGGCCCTGGTCTCCATCCCAGTACCAAAAGAACTAAAAGGCTCTTTTTAGTTTTTTTTTCCCCCTGAGGAGCAGGGATTACCCCATGGGTCTGACAAATAGAACTGGCTGATAAGATTTTATAGACGACCTACATTTAAGGCTTACATAAGTCACGAGTATTATATAAAAAGAATTGGCAGCCACTGGGAACACAATCATGCTCTTTCCTCCTTCTGTGTGTACATAACCATTATTGAGCATATGCTACATAACCAAGCTGAGAAAGATGAAGAATGATCTGGACTCTTGTCCTGCACAAGCTCCTGAATTGGGGGAGACCTACAACTCTCAGCAAGATGAAGGGAGCTAGAAGGGTGGGACCTGGGGACTATGGGAAGCCTGAAGACCATGGCCAAGTCAGGTCAGGATTCAAATGGCAAGACCCATACAGGCTCTACGCCTGAACCACAAAAAGCAGTAGTGAACAGCACACCCCAGGAGCAAGGGAGAATTGAGACCTACAGGCGGGAAATAGCTCAGGTGACAAGAATAGTAAGAGGTTTGAAGAGAACCTCCCCACCCTTTGCTACTATAGTCCCTAGTACCTCAATGGTCTGGCTCTATGACTGTCCACCGCCCAAACCAGGGGACTTGCTTATTGACTACATACCAGCTTTTCCACCACACTCAGTTTGCCCTTACAGCATCCTTACCTCCCACCGAGGGGGCCCAAACAAACCCCCAGCTCAGCCTCAGCCCCACTTGCCTGAGCTTTCAATTCTGATAGGGTGTCCCAAGTCAGGCCATTTCCTGAAATGCAGCTCTAGCACCCCTTCCTCCCAATGATGGAATGATGGCTCCTTCCAACTTCTTCCATTTCTATTTCCCATGAAATTTCCCCTCAGGGAGCCAGATTTTAGGTTCCAGACCACTCACTCCCCTTCCAGCCTATTCACTACCACCATCCAAGCCAGGGAAGACAATAGTCACCCATAAGGACACAAGGTTCTAACTAGACTGAAGTCACCCAGCCAGAACTCTGCCTAGGCCTCTAACTCCCACAAGCACTCTCTCCTACCAGAACTGATTCCTGTTTACCTACCAGTCTAGATCCTGTCACCACTGTTTAGTGAGTCATACACTTCTCACTGGTGTTCCTTTAAAACAATAAGTCAGGAGCCGGAAGTGGTGGTGCACGCCTTTAATCCTAGCACTTACTTGGGTGGCAAAGGCAGGTAGATCTGAGTTCAAGGCCAGTGTAGTCTACATAGTAAGCTCTAGGCCAGATGGCGTCAAAAAGACCAAAGATAAATAAAACAATAGGACACTCACCAATGGCTGATCCAACCTTCTGTTTGCAGACAGAAGGCCTGTACAGGTGAAAAGAATCGAGGACCAGCGAAGCTAGTTCCAGGTGAGAGAAAGAGAGTGTGTGTTATGTGTGTGTGCCTGCCTGTACGTGCACCTGAGAGCATGTGTGTCTGCCTGTATGTGCACACGTGTGTGTGTCTGCTTGTATGTGCACCTGTGCATGTGATCCCAATGGAAGCCAGAAGAGGGTGTCAGATCCCCTGGAACTGAAGTAACAATAGTTGTTAGATACCATGTGGGTGCTGGGAACAGAATTAGGATCCTTTGCAAGAGCAGCCAGCTCTTAACTGCTGAGCCATCTCTCTAGCCACCCCCCAGATGTAATTCCTTAAAAACTTCATTTGAGGCCAGGCATGGTGGCACACACCTCTAGTCCCAGCACTTGGGAGGCAGAGGCAGGCAGATCTCTGTGAGTTCAAGGCCAGCCTGGTCTACACAGTGAGTTCCAGGACAGCTGGGGCTACAGGGAGACCCTGTCACAAAAAGTCAAAAAAAAAAAAAAAAGCTCAAAGCAAAGGAGAGGAACCTCATAAATAATATGTTATTAAACAAACAAAAAAACTTCATTTGAGCCTTGGCATAGGTGGTTCATGCCTTTAACTCCAGCACTGAGGAGGCAGAGGCAAGCAGATCTCTGTGAGTTCAAGACTAACCTGGTCTACATAGTTAGTTCCAAGTCACCCACTGCTACATAATGAGACCTTGTCTTAAAACAAAAAAACTTCATTTGAGTAGTTCAGGTGAAGCAAAAGGACTTGAGGACTCAAATGAACCCAGATCACAGTAACAGCCCTGCTGCGGCGCATAGCTCTGTGGACAAGATTGCCACCACACAGAAGCACCTCTTACTCCTCTTCATCTTTCTTCTTCTTTTTTCTAAAGCAGCCAGTGTCTTGCTATATAGCCTAGACTGGCCTCCACATCTAATCATCTCCAAAGCTAGGTGATGTTCTAAAAAGCAACCCAATCTGGGCCCTTCCCCAGCTCTGTTAAGGTGAGTACTGGGTGCCCCCTGCTACCGAAGCAAAGGTGCCCAACACAGTTTGAAGAGTGAATAAGAAAATGGCTGGTCCAAATCCACCATTCCAAGTGTGGCAGCACCAGGCCCTGACCTAGAGCCCAGACGCTCCCTCTGAAACAACCACTTCTGTGATAGTTTTCACTTCATGATTTTTCAATGTCATAGTTTTTACTCATTTCTCCCAGGACTTCAGTGGTTTGGCTGTAGCAAACACATGGCCATGCCACTTGTGAAGGACATTGGACTGCAGAGTCCCAAAACTTTGCCTACTCCGTTGGATGGTGAGACAAGCTATCAGATACTTCCCTACTTGGGATTACAGTGGCTTCACCACCTCTGTAGGGCACCTCTGAAATCTGTGGCTAGCCAGGGCCATATGAAGCCTGTTGCCCCTGCCTGACTCCCTCAGGATTTCAGAGAATGCTCACTCATAGGGCACCAACTAGTCAGATGCTGGACATCTGCTATCATGAGGTTGATTTGCCAGCTGTCTACAGTGAAGGAAATGGCCTGAGGTCAAGTTGTGGCATGGGGACAGAATGGGGGCCAGTCACCCTGGTTGGCACTTAGCTGCCCTTATATATATTTAGCAAATGACCACTGATTGACCCAACCATCCTATTTTTCTATTATCTTAGAACATCTGAACAACCTGCCCAGGTACTACTGTGTATAAGCCAGGTACAGGGCAGCACCAGAACTCAGATCTCCCCTGAAGGGGATGGGTGGCAGGGAAACGAGATGGAAAGTCTTCAGCGAGGAAGGAGGTACTAGCTCTTGTGATTTCTCATTGTAGAGCAAACAGAATAGCAGAGTCAAACTCATTGAGGTTCTCCTATACCTTCCACAGTGACAGCAAGTCATACACCAGTGTGAATAGGAGAGTTCAGAAAGAACCCGAGGTCTTCTAGTCCAATCATTCCCAAACTTCACTGTGCACCAAGATTCCAGTTCTTACCCTAGACCAACTGAATCAGAATCTCTAGGTTCAGGAATAGGAAATAATTATTTAAAATTTCTCCCAGGGGATAGGGACATAGCTCTTGAGGTAGTGTGTCTGCCTAGCATGCCCAAAGCCCTGGGTTCAATCCCCAGTATTACCCCCCCCAAAGAAATGAATTCTGTCAAGCAATTCTGACACATAAGTGGGAATGAGCCAGGGTTAGCAATCACTTTGCAACTGTGAGCCCCTGAACCCATGATAGACAACAGAAACCAGAGAAGAGTGATTTGCCAAAAGAAACACAGTGCTGGTGTTAGACCTTGTCTAGAAACCAAGCTTCACTTTCTAAGGTCCACTAGATTAACCTGCCTCATCTCTTAGGTCTAGGGTGCTTCCCCACCACTTGTAACCAGTTACCTCTGTAGGCCAATAAGCTTCCACTTCTGAAAATCCATAATGTGCAAAGGGGAGGAAATCCAGTGCTTCACAGGCTTGGCGTAGCAGCCATAATTGGGAACAAAGATGGACAGTGCTGTTACAAGCTTCCTGACTATGGTTTCATCTTCACCCAGGACCACAAGTGTCCTCCCACTAAGCAGGGAGTAGATGGCTGGGTGGGCAAAAGGGTACTGGCGGATGAATTTTAAGGTGTTCTGGCCAGCCCTCTTTTTGTGCCTTTCAGAGGACAGGCCAGCAGGGTGGGTAGAGGAAGAGGGGGTTCTGTCCAAGCTTATGGAGGCCACACTGCTTATGTAGCTGGCGGTGTCTGAGTAATTGTCCAGGCTAGTCTTACTGACATCTCGGCTAGCCAGAAGGCAGCCTGGATCCAGCTCATAAACAGGGAACATTTCACAACTGTTGTCTTGGGGAGAAGGGTTGGTGGTTTCCACCACAAAGTCCATATGGTATCCTTGATCCTTCTGCCTATAGCGCTGTGGAGGGATGCTGACCACACCATCCTCATCAGAGAGAGTGTGAGCTGGAGTGGGGAGTGGCACTAACTGACCTTCAGTCTCCTTCCCAATACAGCAGCTGGAGTCTATTTGGGATGAAGTATTTTCTAAGCTGCCCTCCTGAGTCTCACCCAACTCTGGTGGGCTGATGTTTGCCTGGAAATGGATGGCCCCCTCATTATCTGCATAGGTTTCTTCCTCATTAATGGCACTTGGGTAGCTGGCCTTAAAGTCATCAGGGATGAGAGCCTCAGAAGGGCAAGTGCTTAGGACTTCAATACTGTCCTCACTGATTGTCCTGTGGCTGACTGCTTTGCTACGGACTACCTGGGGGCTCAATGGAACTGTGAGGCTGACCTGGCTGTCAGACTTAGACAGCACAGAAGTAGACTTCTCCGTTCCCAGAACCTCGATGCTTTCCCCACTGCTGATACTCCCTTTCATATCCATATCCAAGTAGTCCAGGTGTTCCTGGGGGTCAAAACTGCTTGGTTCTGCTACCTCTACTTCCTTGTACTCTTCATCTCCAAGTTCCTGCTCCATCTTGATCAACACAGTCTCCACACTGGACTTGTAAGAACCAACACTAATTAACACTTTAGGAATGGGGCATTCTTCCACAGGCCTGGAAGGCAGCCTGTCCTGACTGAGCTGAGAGGGCACACGCTCTTGTTTTTCTACCATCTTGTCATCGACCTCCACAAAGTCTTCAAAGAGGAAATTTGTTATGTGCTGTTGTTTTCGAAGTGCTCGGTCTATCTGACTAGTCAGGAGGTAGCACAGATCTCCTCTGAACATGTGCTCTATGTGGCTAAGCTGGGCCAAGGTCTGAGTGAAATACTCAGTGTCACAGAGCTCCTCCAAGGTCTTCAACTTCTTGTCAAAACACTTGGTGGGCTTTGCTTTGATGAGTTTTGGGGTGTAAGCTGGTCTGCAGGTATAAAGGTCTGCATTACCAGACTCATGAAGGTTAGAGGTAGTGGATGCCTGGACAGCCTGATCTTGGGTATGAGCCATCTCACCAGGACACAAATCAGGAATTTTCATCTTCTGACGAGGGTATGAGCGAATCTGCTTCAGCAAGTCTTGATGCTCAATGATGGATTTCTCCACATTGGCCAACTCATTGGCCTTCTCAATTGCCTGAGATGAATAAAAACCTTTGTCATTGGCTTTCTTCTGGATCTCAGTTTCTGTGTGCAGCACTGTCCTAGTGTAATCCAAATCTTTCAGCTTTTTTTCAAGTTCTCCAGCAAAAGCCTTCCTATTGCCCATCTTCAAGCACTCGGATGCTTTGGAAAATTCAGATGAAAGCTCCTGGAATTGCTGCATGATTTTATGCTGGTCTGCAGAGATGTAAGCCATACAAAAGGGCCTCACAAAGCCACGGGCCTCCAGGTCATACAAAGTAAGGTGGTGCACATATGCAAAGGCCCCTTCCTTGGAGTCTCCCAGTACCACTTTGGAGTCCTCCACAAAGTTCAGTTTCGGGTAGGCAGAACCAGGAGGATGCCCCATGAAGGAAGCCTGGTAATCCACAGACATGATCCGCAAGGAGAAGTAATTGAGATCAAAAGTGCCAAAAACTTTGGTGTCATTGGGGATGGTCAGCAAGGGTTGGGGTCCCACCTGCTCAGAGAATTCGGAAATAAGGATGAAGTCCCTTGAGAACTTGGCCCCAGACAGTTTGGACCATGGGTTGGCTCCCTGGCTGGCATAGGGAAAGAGAGGTACTGAGTATTCCTCTGGCAAGGCTGGTTCATTGTAAGGCTCTTCTTCGTACTCTTCTTCCTTGGTGAAGGCCACCACATCAGGGGCGCTGATCATATTTCCTGAAATATGGAGAGAACATTGAAAGGAGGTGGAAAATAAATGCGGGGTTAATCAGCGGGGTAATCAGGCCTCTGGGTGAAGAAAAGTCCTTCTTTGCACCTCCAGGGGTCCTAAGCTGCCTCTGGACTCGAACTCCCGCAGTCTCTGGAGGTTTAGCACCAGCCGAAGCCCTCTTAGGCCTTGTGAACTCCAAAGCTGCAAGCCAAGATGACGGAGGAAGCTGGCTGCTCTCGGGCTCTTTTCCCCCCCGCGGGCGCAAGGCATCTGAACCCAGGTCACCAGCATTCCCCCGAACCTACCGCGACATCAACAGGCCCAGCCCTGATGAGGTCCTTAACCCTGGTTAGGGGCCGCCGCAGGGGTCAGCCAGATGTTGCCGCCCCCACGACCAAGGGCAGAAACCGTCGCGGATCCTAGGACGCTATTACTCCAGCCAGCTACCGCGACACCGCCATCTTGGAATCACATGACTCCCAGTCCTCAGCGTCGCGTGACCCGGAAACGCGTACAGACTTCCGAGAAAAGAAAAACATCCTTAGAGCCTTAGGAGGAACCCTCCAGCACTCCCTCGTGAGGACGATACCGACTAGCCAGCTGCTGTCCTAAAGGAAGGATAAGTGGCACAGTGTGAGGCGGAAGAGCGGAGGAGCGGTGGAGTTGGGTGAGCGTGAGGCATTCTGGGAGTTGTAGTTCGCGGCTGCTCTGTGGCACGTCTAGCGGAAGTGGCCTGCGAAGAAGAGAGGAAGTGGGACTGAGGACTGTGGGTTCGAGGCCGAGGCGGTAGTGTCCCGGAAAAGGCGCGCAACCGGCTTCCCCAACATGTGCGGGCCGGGGTGGAGCTGCCGCTGGCGCAAGACCTAGGGATGATCTTCCCAGTCGCCCTCTTAGCACTCCAGTGGCAGCGACGGCTTGGAGGCCGTGCCTTGTCCCGCGCTGCCATGGAAGTGGCCTTCCGAGGCGTGCGGAAAGTTCTCTGTGTGGCGGAGAAAAACGACGCTGCCAAGGGGATTGCGGACTTGCTATCCAATGGTCGTGTGAGGCGGGTAAGCATTTGGGCTCAGCTTCTTTGAGATGCCCACAGAGCGGGACCCGGACCCGAAATGAAAGCTTCTGCGCCCGCTGTGTGGCAGAGGCCTCCTCCCGACTGTCCCCAATACTTCAGGCTCTTCTCGGACAGCAGACCACTTGAAAATGTAGCTAGGACTTTCCACGCATTTACTTGTTCTTGCCGGTTGTAGTGTCCCCAAACTTGTCTGATGGTCCTAAATAAATACCTATAGACTGAGAATCTGGAGCGATTCTGAGGAAGTCTTTTAACATTCTTCCTTGGTGATTCTGAAGTTGAAAACCCTTAAGCAAACTCTAATTTGGAATTCAAACCTTAACCCTTGTTCTCCAGCCACCAGAGCCCTTGCCTATTCTCCGGTTACATTTGCTGCATTCTGCAGCCCCTGTGACTTGACAGTCTCTGATGGCACCCTGGGGGTAACACTGTAAGGTTTGGGGACTAGAAGTTGTAATACCGAGGGAGATTGACAGAGGAACACCACATAGTGATGGTAGGAATTTTTTATATTTTTTAATATTTTTATTTTATGTGTATGAATGTATTGCCTGCATGTATGAAAGTGTAGGGAGCAATGTAGGTTACATGTGTGTTGTGTGGCTTTTCTTGGGGAGACATTAACAGATATCTATTCACTCAGGGCACCAATCCTAGACCAAAGTAGTGATTTCACCGGTCTAGCTTGTTGAACCACTGAGTTTAATGGGGTTGCATACACAAGCGTGGGTGAGCATTTAAGAGAAGTGTGGGTGACTAAAAGATCACCAAAAAGCCCACACAGTATGGGTGAAGACTCAGGAAAACTACTTCCCTGCAGCTCCCTGCACAACAGGATGTCACTGGAAATGGCTCCTCTCCCAGCAGTTACTTAGGATTTGTATGTACAGCCTTGGGAAGGGGCCTCGGGAATCCTTAGCTTAAGTGTGGTCAAGTACACAGAAGATTCATTTTAATCATTATGGCATGTAGAGTTCACAGTGTTGGATAGCCATTACCACTCTCTAGTTCCAGAAGATATATATGTCTCTCTCCCCTAAAGGAGTGCCTATTGTTTCCTGCACCATGACCTCCACCATAATCTTCTTTCTTTTCTTTTTTTAATTGGTTGTTTGGTTGTTATTATTGTTGTTTGGAGGGTTTGGGGTTTTAGTTTTTTGTTGTTGTTGTTTTTCTGTCTTTTTTGAGACAGGGTCCCTCTGTAGCCCCAGGTGGCCTAGAACTTGCTATGTGGGCGAGGCTGGTTTCTGCCTCCCAAGTACTGGAACTAAAGACATGCTCCACGCCCTGCCTGGTTTTTAGGGGTTTTTTTGTTTTGTTTTGTTTTTTGTTTGTGTGTTTGCTTTTTGTCTTTTTGAGACAGGGTCTCCCTGTAGCTCCAGCTGTCCTGGAACTCACTGTGTAGACCAGGCTGGCCTTGAACTCACAGATTCACCTGCCTCTGCCTCCCAGGTGCTGGGATTAAAGGTGTGTGCCACCATGCCCGGCTAAAACGTGTAGCCCAGGCTGGCCTCAGACTCCAGTTCCTCCTGCCTCTGCCTCCTTCAGCAAATCCTAACAGTGAGCGCCACCAACACAGGCGGTTTTTAGTTTTTTGAGACAAGGTTTCAGTCTTATAGCCCAGGCTGACCATAAAGTTACTAGGTAATAGAAGCTGGCCTTGTACTCTTGAGCCAAATGCTAGGATTACAGAAGTGCAACAAGATGTTCAGCACTAATTTGCTTCATGTTCCTATGAATTTGTCCATTCTGGACATTTTCTATAAATGGAAACATACAATAAATGGCCTTTTATGTCAGATTTCTTTCATTTAATATAACATTTTTGAAATCTATCCACATTGTACCATATATTAATACTTCATTTCTTTTAATGATCACTACTGTGTAGACCAGGCTGGCCTTGAACTCACAGATTCACCTGCCTCTGCCTCCCAGGTGCTGGGATTAAAGGTGTGTGCCACCATGCCCGGCTAAAACGTGTAGCCCAGGCTGGCCTCAGACTCCAGTTCCTCCTGCCTCTGCCTCCTTCAGCAAATCCTAACAGTGAGCGCCACCAACACAGGCGGTTTTTAGTTTTTTGAGACAAGGTTTCAGTCTTATAGCCCAGGCTGACCATAAAGTTACTAGGTAATAGAAGCTGGCCTTGTACTCTTGAGCCAAATGCTAGGATTACAGAAGTGCAACAAGATGTTCAGCACTAATTTGCTTCATGTTCCTATGAATTTGTCCATTCTGGACATTTTCTATAAATGGAAACATACAATAAATGGCCTTTTATGTCAGATTTCTTTCATTTAATATAACATTTTTGAAATCTATCCACATTGTACCATATATTAATACTTCATTTCTTTTAATGATCACTATTTCATCTTTTTTTATCAGTTGGTGGACATTTGGGTGGTTTCTACCTTTTGCTTATTATAAATTGGGCTGCTGTAAACTGATTTATAGTTTGATTTACAATTTATAAACGGATTTCTGTTTGCAATTATGGGTTGTGCAAATGGAATTGCTGGGATATATATCATAGTAACTTGAAGAATCAAAAACATGACCAAAGCATTTTATCTTTCTGCCATGTCCCCCATTTCTGTGCATCTTGATTGTTTTCCTTGGTGCTTTAAAATTATCACCATCCTGTAGGTGTGAAGTGCTATCTCACTCTTTTTAATTTATATTTCCTAATGACTTATGCTGATACTGTGTACTTTTTCATGTACTTGTTGGCCATTTGTTTATCTTTTTTCATGAAATTTTGGTTGTGCTTTTAGTCTGTTTGCTTGTTTATTTTGTGGTGTTTGGCATTAAACCCAAAGCCATGAACAACTGTTCTACCACTGACCTACATCCTCTGCTCACTTAATAAAAAAAAAAAATTTTAGTATTTTATTTATTATTTTTTATTATTTTTATTTTTATGTATGTGAATGCACCCGTGTCCTGCAATGCCGCCTCAGAGGTCAGAAGAGGGCTCTGGATTCCCCTGGAACCAGAGTTAAGGACGGTTCATAGCAGCCATGTGGGTGCTGGGACTCGAACCCAGGTCCTCTGCAAGAGTAGTCAGTGCTCTTAACCACTGAGCCATCTCTCCAGCCCCATTTTTTTTTAAGTATTTATTATAGCCAGGCATGGTGGTGCACACCTGTAGTCCCAAGTAGTTGGGAGGCAGAGGCAGGAGAATCTCTCTGAGTTTGAGGCCAGCCTGGTCTACATAGTGAGTTCCAGGCCAGCTGGGGCTACATGGAAACACTGTTTCAAAAAAAAGACACCCCCCCCAAAAAAAAGTATTAGTTTATTATTAGCCGGGCGTAGTGGTGCAAGCCTTTAATCCCAGCACTAAAGAGGCAGGTGCAGGTGGATCGCTGTGAGTTCAAGGCCAGCCTGATCTACATAGCAAGTTCCAGGCCAGCTGGGACTACAGGGAGACCCTGTGTCAAAAAGACCGAAAAAAAAAAAAAGTATTCATTTTTATACACGAGTGTATTGCCTGCATGTATGTAAGTATACCTGTGTCCATGTTGTACAGTGCCCACAGAGGTCAGAAGAGGGTGTTGAATCCTCTGGAACTGGAGTTATGGACAGTTGTTAGCCACCATGTAGGTGCTGGGAACTAAACCCAGGTCCTCTGCAAGAACAGCCAGTGCTCTTAACCACTAAGCCATTTCTCCAACCCCTGTTTTTTTGTTTTTTGTTTTTTGGTTGTTTTGGGGTTTTTTTTGTTGGTTTATTTTTATTTTATGTCTATGAATATTATGCCTGCATGTATGTAAGTGCCCCCATGTTATGCAGTGCCCTCAGAGGACCGAAAAAAGGCATCAGATCCTCTGGAACTGAAGTTACAGATGGTTGTTAGCTATCATGTGGGTGCTGGGATTAGAACTTGGTCTTCTGCAAGAACAGCCAGTGCTCTTAACCACTGAGCCATCTCTCCAGCCCCTATTTATTTTTATTTTATGAATATGAATGTTTTGCCTGCAGTATGTAAGTGTACCACATTCATACCATGCCTGCAGAGGCTAGAAAAGGGTGTCAGACCCCCTGGAACTTCCTCTACTTGCTTTTAATGTCCTGGCTAAATCCAGTATCAGAAAATATTTGCATATTTTCTCTTCAGAGTTTTATAGTTTTAATTTTTTTTTTACATTTATTTGTTTATTGGGGGGGGGGGGTCGGTGCACATGTGCCATAGCATGCATGTAGAGGTCAGAGGGCAACTTTTGGGATTTGGTTCTCACTTTCTACCTTATGGGTTCCAGGGATCAAACTCAAGTCATCAGTTATTTGTGCTAGCCATCTTGCTGTTTAGTTCTAGCTTTTATAGTTTTAGTTCTCTTTAATCTTTCTTAAATTTTTTATTTATTTTTATGTGTATGAGTGTTATACCTCCATGTGTCTAAGTGCACCCATGTTCTGTAGTGCCTTTGTAGAAAGGACAGACGAAGGCATTGGATCCCCTGGAACTGGCTTTAAGAATGGTTGTTAGGTGCCGTTGGTGCTAAACACTGAAGGCAACCCTAGAGAGCAAGAGCAGCCAGGGAGACATGGACTGGGGAGCTCTGGCAAGAAGTTATCTAGGTTTGAGGACAGCAAATGTTTGGTAACTATAGGTCTTGTACCACTAATCCCCAAATCTGATATACTATAAACTTACCAAACCAAAACCTACCAACCAAACACATGCTGGAATTAAAGAAAAAAAAAAAGCTATTAGCACAACACGGGTGCGCTTACCTACATGCAGGCAATACATGCATACACATAAAATAAAAATGATAAATAAATATTTTCTTAAAAAAGCTATTAAAAGCTGGGCGTGGTAGTGCATGCCTTTAATCCCAGCAGAGGCAGAGGCAGAGGCAGACGGATCTCTGTGAGTTCAAGGCCAGCCTGGTCTCCATAGTGAGTTCAGGACAGCTGGGGCTACAGGGAGACCCTGTCTCAAAAAGACCAAAAAAAAAAAAAAGCTACTAAATT